AAGAGAGAATATTAACTTATAACTTAAGAGAAAAATGCCATGTTGTTTATTGAGAAGGCCTCGCACAGTGTAATATCAACAAAATGTGCCTAAGGGTCCAACTTGTACCAACATCAGATAAAGTAACGAATTGAAAGAGGAAAAGCATAATCTAACCTTGTTTAAAGTCATCTTCCAAAGAAGACATTACCCCAATTTCAGACATAAATTAGCCAGCTATCCTTTGATTAAAGAAGCTTTACATGCTCACTAAAATAATTTGATTAACACAGCTCCCTGGGCCTTGGGGAGCTGAGTGAGTGACTTTTGAATTTTGGAGGACTTTGGAAGAATACTTAATAAGGTAGATTATCTCTTTGATGTTGTTCTCTGGACCTTGAATAAAGAAAGATATATGGCCAACCCTCGCTCTAAATCAATCAGAAAACCGTCTTTATAAGGCTGCTGAGACTTGAAATTTCAAAACATCTTTGTACAGAAACTGATTTAAAAAGGGTCTTTTGTTTACTAAAATGCATAGAAAAAATACAAGAAAAATGCAGGGCATCATTCTGGATAAAGAGTTAACAATTCTTAAAGGTTGCTACATCGTGGATCTTCTTATGACCTACTCCATGGTATTAACAGGACACATAAACCTTCATGGACTCATTAATCTCCTCTTCCTGTCTCCTAGTGCTTCATGCTGGGGGGGGAAATCAAATAAATGCTTCACATACCAGGCTTCTAATATGACAGCATCAGAGTTACCGCCTCCATAATTATCTCTGATTATACCAGATATGGGGAAAATAAATAAATAAATAAATAAATAATCACGCACTATGAAAAATGAGGGCTAAGAACAAGATTAATAGGGGAGTGATCATCTTGAGTCAGCAACACACAGGCTGCCTGAATTTTGTTTATTTGTAAGTTAACATGACACATGGGAATCAGAGAGTCACACACATTATGTATAATGCATGTAATATTCCTTGAACCAGTAGCACTGTACACTGCCTGGCAAATACTAGAAATGGGGCTCAGAACGGTGTTAAGAACATTGTTTTTCTACTGTCAAGTGATTTGCGGGAATAAACAGAAGTGAAAGCCTGTGGGAGCATATGCTATTATCACAGATCTACATTTCATTGGGATGACAGGGTGGCACCGAGCCAGCTGCTTTGGAGTACTGGAGTAGTGCTTTATGTTTAGGTAAATACAAACAAATCCATATGCTAAAGATAAAGCAAGCTTAAGACCTTTATTGTCAACAAAATGTGATATATTACCATTTTAAACACAGGCTGTGCAAACTTTCACAGTGCAGTAGATAAAAATATCTGTCAAGTAGCAACGACAGATTGTTTCTATTTCTGTTTGTGATTCCCTGACAAGTATAAACATATCTTCCTAACATGTATAAGATAAGATTTTACTCCTCCCCCCCAGGAGTGAAATTCAAGTGTCAAATTCAAAAATACAGAATTTAAAAGCTATATACATTACAATTTCCTCAATGTTTGAAGGTAATTATTCAAGAATCAGTTTTTACCACTCACTAACAGTGTCTGACTTTGTGATTTTAATAATATAATATTAATTTAATACATTAAATTATATAGTATTTTAATAAATAATACATTTTTAATAAGTATAAGTTCAACAGTAAAACATTTTGGGAATATACACTTATTCGCTTTCTTACCGAGAGTTAGATGAGAAGTCAAAGATCACGTTATTAATTGTACAGTTCATATTGAGAAGAAACATATTAATTAGTGAACCTGTTTCCCCATGCTTCAGGTGCTAAGCTAACTGTTGGCTGTACTTACATATAGTAAATATGTGAGAGGGGTATCAATCTGATTTAACTCTCGGCAAGAAAGCAAATAAGAGCATTTGCTAAAATGTCAAATTATTTCTAATACTACTTACAAATACATTTTGAAAATAACAGGTATAGCAATGGATGGATCATTGTTCGGCAGTGGTAGAAAAAGTCAATTTTTAACAGTCACCACTGAGTCTGGATGTTGGAACAGTTAGAGATGAGAGCAGTGAGTGTGACAGGTCTGGCTGATTGGGAGTGGGTTGGGTGTGGGGGTGGGGGGGTCACAGCTGGCTTAGGCTGTGGCCACAGTTGCTTTTGTGACGTTTGATGGCAGTGGGCACAAGTGAATGCCTGAAGCGTACCGTCTTGCTCTTTGGTGGGATGAGCTGGTGGCTGAGCGTGCTGTCCATCTGCCACAGTTCATGATCGAGCGGGTGGGAGGGGTTATTTAGGACGGTGTTCATCACGTCCATCATCCTCCTCTCTCCCACTGCCTCCAGACTGTGCAGTTCCTGCCCGACAGTGCTGGACTTCCTTACCAAATTTACTGGCATTACTGGACTCGATGCCGCCTCCCCAACACACTACAGCCAAGAACAGTGCACTGGCCACCGCTGACTTCAGCAGCCTGGTGCACACATTGAAAGATCTGTTTCCTCATGGGAACGTTCTGCTGTGGTCTCACCAGTCCAGGTTTTTGTTGATTTGTACCCTCTGTAGCTTCTGTGGGTGTCACAGAGCTTCAACAACTCAAGACAAACAATTTATTTCACTGTGCTCAGTATTGCAAAGTAGTCAGGGGTGACACTGGGCTTTTAAAATGTGTATACAGTGGTACGATTTGCAAGCATCCACACTGTCATGTAGATACAACTGTGGCAGTTTGGTGACAAATGCAGCTTTATCCAGTCTTTTTGTGGTCTAAACAGGATCACTATTACAATTTATAGATCGGCACAATTTTCACTATCCAAGAAATCTACACTGTATTCAGTGACTTGTTGTCTTCAACTTTCAGTCAATTAAATCCCACGTACAGTTTAATAGTTGACATATTTAATATACATAATATTTTCCATAATCTGATTACCAGATTCATTTAAAGGGCCATACTGCTGATCTTTTTTTTAATACCTATTTCCCACCTTTCAAGCAACCACTGGTTTCAGTATTTCAGTATGCTACTTTCTGAGTCTTGAAACTTGCAATCCATCAAATTTTTAGTATGAGTGTTACTTTTGAGTGGTAATACAATTGCAAGTCGGGATCATTGAGAAAACTATCCTTGTGGCCCATGGATGTCCACAGTTGTGCCTTTGAAAGAGTCAAAATAATCTAATATCTGACATGCAAACAGGATCTAATTAACCTACGCATTAACATTTTGGCCGATCTGAACCGATTCTTATTAGAGTACTGGCACACCAAGGTTAGATATAAAAGCACAATGACTGATGTTGCCTATTAACGTTGTTTTCTCTTGTAATTTGAATTTTTTTGTCATTTGCCCTAGATGAATGGGCTGAAACAATCACCGCAAGTGCTGTGGGAGATGAATTTTTCCACCTCATATCTCCTGATTCGCTTACCTTACAGGCTCCGTATTTTGGGAGCGCATCTTCTCGAACTCATTCGCAGGGGAAATAAAAGCAGATAATAACCTGTTAAAATTAATTATTAAACTTGATTAAACAACGGTTGGGACAAAGAGCCATTTGCAGGGATCTAAAATAATTCCCTTTGCCAAGGCACTTAGTGAGGGCAGCATCAAAAAATTAACTTCAAATACAACTTGGAACAAAACAAGAACAGTGGGTCGCTGAGTGAGTTTATCTTCACGATTGAAACCACTGGTGTTCCTTTGGACCATGAAATTGTCATTTGTTCTGCAAGCGTTACATCAAATGAGAGTTCAGGGCCATGCCAGGACTGTTCGTGGCTGCTGAGCTTATTTTAACTTGTTATCTGACAGAATCTCCATGGATAATTATATTTGGCTGAGATAGACAGGTAGAGAAGGCAGGCGAGCACGTGCTAATCCACGGCTGTGTATCCATGAAACGCAGAGGAAAACGCTGGTGTCTATCCACAGAGCTGAATGAAAAGTCACAAAAAACGCTTACCGGATTCATCTTGCAATATGAATCCTTGCACGTGATTACGTGTGTGCTGTAAGTGCAGGTGCATTTGAGCTTGTTTGAATATTTCAGCATGTTTTCATTTCAGCGCCTACTGCGAGTGTCCGTGCCAGTGAAAGCTTTTCAGTGTGAGTGCATGTCTGCATGTTTCTGTGCGCGTGAACAGTATTAAGCAAAAATAATGTAACCAGCATGAGAGATTACATTCTGTGACTTGCTTAAAACCATTAGAGAGGGAGAAAAGACGACCAGGCAGAAGGGATTATTCTGGGCTGGAATGTGGAAGCGGCAGAATATAGTGAGGGTGGGGGTAGGGGAGGGAAACAAGGGCGACATTGACAGTGTAGCACCGACAACAGCTCTAGCAGGAGATCAGGTTAAAAAGGGTGGCAGAACGCCAACTGATTGTTCTAGAAAGGGGAAAGAACAGAGAGAGAAAGGAGGGAGAGGGGTATAGGAAGATTAAGAAAGAAAAACAGAGGGAGACAGTAAAGGAGCGATAAAAGTACAAAGACAGCAGAGATTCCATCTTGCAAACAACAAACCAAGGGCCTTTGCCACCAACAGCTTCCTGCCTTTGATGTATACTGCATTTAGGTAGTACTAAAGAGGCAGGAGAAAGGTGGTATTGGTGGTGAGAAAGCCAGAAAGAGACGAAGAAGCCATCAGCATTATGAAAAGCATCAGACCCAGAGGCCTATGGAAGAGCCACTTTGATGACACTACTGTTTGCTCCACATGGGGGTGGCGGTGGCAGAGGCGGGGTTGTGATGAAAGGAAAAGGGTGGGCGGGCGTGATGACACAGGCTGCAGGAAGTATATGTAGCCAGGCTGTAGAAGCCAACCCAAAATTAACCAAAAAAAAAGAAGAAAAAAAAAAGGAGGAATGCAAATCAATCCACATACAATGAAGCTGTACACCCAGCAGGCACTCCAGCCAGCCAATTGAAATAAATCAGGATGGAGGAGAGGGTTTCAGCTCAGGTTAGTATGAGGCAGCGGACCTCTTTGCTGATTTGGTGTACAGCATAGTGACATATACTGACCTGGGCTTGAGACAGCACTAGTGGTGGTGGGTTCAATAATTGCTACAGGGGAGGAGAGGGGGGAAGAGGGAGGGGGAGGGAAAGAGGACATTCATGTATTATTAACAGAATGGAGACGTAAAATAAAAAATAAAAATGCATGCAAGGACAAAAGGACAGGGAATGGAGACAAATCCTCTCCATGCATTAAGGACTGGTGTCTCTGTGGCAAGATGCAACCTCCACATGCTCATAAACAACGTGTTTTATCCCCCCGGTTGCCTCGGATTTGCATGGGTTACTGCTAAGATAGAAAATGAGGGGAACCTGGGAGCTGGGGCTGCTCCAAAGCCCTGAAGGGGATTTTGTGATTGGGTGACAAACTTTCATCAGACTTCTTGTTTGCCAAACAACTGACTGTTTCTCCATTTCGTGTTCTCCTTTTTAAGTTGTATGAACCGACTGAAGAAAAAAGAAAAGGGGGTGCTTTTCGTCTGCCTTTGATCCCTCTGAGGAGGGAACTCAGAGTCCCAATCTGATTACCTTATGAACTCATTTCAGGCTGAGCCACTGGTGACATTTGGGAGATGGAATAATGTGACTTCCAGAAATATTCAGTGCAGTGTGTCAAACTACTAGAGCTGAGTGTGTCTACGGACGGACAGCAGCAAACACATCTTCTTTACTTTCAAAGTGCATGTTTAAAATGTCACGCCAGGTAGGTCTTGTGCTTAGTCACATTAGTGGTAAAGATGTTTCTGCAGATTTTAGTGTAGAAGGAACCAAATATTTAGTTAATAATTCATTCTGTATTAACCAATCGACTGAAGAGATGCAAATAGCCTGATTTTTCTGACACATATTGTAGCAAAAAAAGAACCGTAACATGTTTGGTGTTGATACCAGGGACTCAACAATCACAATTTCTTTGATTTCTGACTTCTAAAACTGACAGTGAAACCCACACAGCATAAATAATTTACAGCTACTTTGGTATGAAGATATCAATGTAATGTAAACATTACTGTCCATTTGATCTGAAGTTGGAGACAAATAAATAAATAACATTGCTGTCTGTTTCGTAAACAAGCACTTAATTCGAGATAAGCTGTGACCAGCTTTGTGCAGTGACTCACTCGGGGAGCAGAATCTGGGGTGTGTGTGTGTGTGTGTGTGGCAAAGGAAAAGCTGTTCTTTACCATGAGAGCTCAACTCAAAGTGATGCAGAGTTTGGACTCGTAGGGTTTTTTTTTTCAGCATTGCGTCTTTGGCACACGAACAGTGCGTCTTAGCACTTGGAGCTGAAAAACTATTTATACTCCTCACAAAGGTATAAACCACCTTCTTCCAGGAGGCTTCGTAGCGGAGGAGGGGCTTATCTGTCACAAGGGAAACCATGGCAGCCATGATTACACCTCACACACATTCACACACAAAAAAAAGAATACTACTTTATGTTGTTGCTTTGAGCTGCTGAATCTAGGCCATGCTATAGCGCAAAAGCCTACTCAGACTTTCCATTTTAATCCATTTATATGGGAACTCAATATAGCTCATTATTATACATACTTAATATTTCAATTGTGGGGCCAAGGGGTGCACTGCCGTCCACACCGTGCTCTCAATCTATGGTCTCTGCTTTACTGAAGCACTCTAACAACTGTGTAATGACTGTGCAGCTGTTAACAGGCTACTGTTATGCCAACAACAATAAAACATTTGCTTTCATTTGATTTCATCATTCTTTTTGATGGGGAAAATGTGTAAGAATCAGTATTCATACGTGAAGGGATATGCTTTTTCCCTTGGTATATTGGTGGGGAAATGGTCGAATTCATCTTTTCTTCCACAAATGTTTCCACTTTAAGTACTCCTGGGGGAGCCGATATGTGAAGACAGTTTCTTTTTAGTTCTGTCTTCAAACAGGCAGGCGGGTGCTATCTGATTAATACTTGAGTATGAATTCACCAGTGAATCATTTCATGAGCTCTCAGACACTCGTCCGTTACTGTGGAACATATCTTTTGACATGCAATCTCTCCCTCATAGCGCCACACTGACTTGGGCTCTTTCTCTCATTCAGCAGGGCAACGCATCATTTCACGCACTGTATATGGCCGTCAACCTCTTGCACAGCCTGCTCACTTGCAAGATAAAACACATTAGTTTTCACAGCTATTTCATTTCATGGATTTCTATTCTCTTTGTTCTCTGTAGACGGGATAATGCAAGAAATTTATAAGACATGATCTGTAGAAACAAGTGTTCATGTGGGGCCCTACACTTTAGTTCATCACAAGTATAATGAGGAGTTAAAAGCAGAATTAGTAGAATTTTCCTAAAAGGCCATGTAATGTATAGGTGAATCCAAAAAAATCCCTTGATTATCAATATAGGTGTTCAATCTGTATCTGCAGAGAGCAATCAGGTGCTGGAATCAAAGTAGAGGCCATTAAGGAGCTAACTTTGAATGCTGTGTTTCTAACCCACAACTGACAAATCTTACTCATTCTGCTTTTAATACTAAAGCTGTACCCCATATCAGTACTCTAGACTCAGACTGCTACTGTACAGTATGCAAACTTACATTCAGAGTTTAATTTATTTACATAATTTCATAATAGTAGAGACGAGGTAGCAAGCTAATGCGACCAAAGATCCAAAAGAAACATGAATCAAAAAGGTAAAATGTCATGAAAATGTGCAGGTGCAAATGTGTGTTCAGCGCCTCTTGAATTACATGCTGAGTCAGTGATATTGATAAACAATCCTATCAAAGCCCCACTGATAGAATATGGTCATTTTTGTGGAAGAGTGCAGTAAAAATCTTATTTAGCCCCCCTCTAAGAAATAGCTAGAAACATTCTGGGCCATTGTAGGTGTCCGTTTCATCTTCACTGCTCCGTTTGAGTGCATTATAAAGTTACTGTTCAAGCAGGGACACATTCCTTGTGTGAACTCTTCAGCTACTCTAAAACATTTTCCTCACTGATCCCTTCCATGATCATGAAATAGTTAGCGTTAAAGACTGTGTTTGTGAGCCAGCTAATTAGTTATTCATCCTATGTCATTGGTAATGCTGCCCAGAGAGTGCATCATCCTGTGGGCATCCACTGGGCTCAGTCGTCAAGGGATGAACATTCCTAGCAGTGCATCTGGCCTCCTACAGGATTCAGCGAGGGTGGGTGGGGTGTGGGTGGGTATAAAGTCCATTGCCCGCTGGGCTGCAGGATGAACACTCTGCCACAGCACCAAACATTTCCTCATCGCAGTGCGACTGGAAAATGTTAATGGCTTTTCTGATTGCCTAAATATGGAAATGCAGGCATTCAAATGATAGGTAAATGGTGCAACACTGTAAGGGCACTTTTGAGGAGAATAAAGGACACTGCAACCTCACCATGTTCAATGTATTCAGCTTATTTTGATGTGTGAGTGTATGAAAACAGAAACACCTATGTCAAAACGCTAAAATTCTGTTTACCTTCAAAGGTTTTCACACAGACAGACAATCAGAAAACAGCTGGATAGTGCCCATGTTATCCACCTGGATTTGTGGCCAGTGTAAACAAATAAGAGGTAGTAATTTCACAAAAAGATGAATACAACTTGCTAAAACGTGATACACTGCCTTGCAATTCCCCACATGGCTTCAACATTATTTCCCTGCATTTTAAGCTGTTATCACACACCCACATTTCAGGTTTCACCTTTAGCTCCCATTTTCCTGTATCTCTGCTCCATGACTCAGGTACAATCACACGGTGTGGGAACAAACAACATCATCAACAACAATGGCAGATGAGGAGACATGTCGAAATGACACCTACACATGCGGTGATTGATAAGCGTGACAAACGAACACGACGTTCATTAACCAACTAGCCAGCAGTGTCTCTCTTGCCTGAGGGAGGCTGAGCAGTGACGGAGAGAGAGGGAGGGAGAGAGAGAGCAACTCTTTTTTCCCCCATCAGTCTCTTCCGATTACTGCTCAGGGGGAGGGGAGGAGGGGAGAGGAGAAAGGAGGAAATGAAGGCAGAGGTATAGGCGGAGAAAATCTCCTCCAGGGCTAAGCCGAGGTGGGCTGGGGGATAAGAGCTTGACCAATTAAGCTGGAGGACTCCTCAGAAAATTGGAGTGAACAGCCTCAGTCTTTTCATCAAAGTTCACTTCCATCTAGCACATGAAATGGGAAGTTGAAATAGGGATTGCCAGTTTGGTGATTGTTATACCTCAGCTAAAATCATAAGGTGTGTCTAAGTGTGTGTGTGGGAATGCTATATATGTGTACGGCAAGGAGAGACACAACCTCCAATGATGCTTTGGTACATTTAAAAATAAGTCATAGTTGCAATTCTGTATTCTCTTATACAGCAAAAATACTCCATAAACTTTCAATGTAGATTAACTACAGTATCTATTTGTCCTAAAATCCTACCTTCCTGAGACCAGAAGATAAAAGGTTTTAATAAATCAGATTTTTAAATATATAACTTAAAGGTCCAGTGTGTAACATTTAGGAGTATCTATTGGCAGAAATTTAATACTATATTCATAGGTATGTTTTCATTAGTGTATAATCACCTTGAAATAATAATTGTTGTGTTTTTGTTACCTTAGAATGAGACGTTATTATGCTGACCACCATGTTGAACTGGCATGTTTCTACAGTCGTCCAAAATGGACAAACCAAACACTGGTTGTTTTGCATTTTTTCAGCTTTATATGCTGGTAATGTAAGCATTATTCAGTAGGGTGCAATCTACAACTTAACCGTTAGATGCCACGAAATCCTACTAGGGATGTCACAAGAATCGTTTTCTAGAGTACAGTACGTACCAATTCGATTCTACCAGACCTGATGGAACACCTCTTGTACAGGTTGCTCTGCAGAGAAACACAGAGAGAGACGCTCTCTGGTGCAGATATGGTAGATATTTTATAAGCACAGACCAGGTAAAGCAAGAGTGAACAGCCGTAAACACATCAGCTGGTGCCGGTGTCAATAGGTACCACGTTGGTTTCGATCATTTCAATAGGGTACATCATTAACAATGAGCCTC